TCTGGCGCCTGCCTCGGTCACTTGTCTCTGTCGCATGCAGCCAAATTGTACCTTTAAAATAGGCTATTTGATATTGGAGACCAGTCTTCACGTGTGGTTTTACATCTTTGCTGTGATTTACGTGAAAGCTGCTGGAATCTTTGTCTTCAGGTTTCAATGTTCTGAGGTAATTGAGTGTGCATTGTATTCACAAACCCTCAAACAAAGAAATTGGGCAGGATTATGTCTGATGAATTTAGAGGCCAAATAATAGCTCACCCTGACCACATTAATTATTGTGGGACATGTCGTTCAGGAAGTCATTGGTTTATGTTGACTAGTGCGGTCGTGCTCAATCTTGCTGCAAAATGACCGTGTTCATGTTTTCGTATTACAGTTGTGTCACGAGACAGTTTAAGAATATCTCGTCTTCATACAAGAATATTCTAATAAAATTATTGCATCAAGCTCATGAGAATTCTTATTATAATAAGTGCAAAAATGATCCAAAGCCAGCATTCTGTTTTCCGCGTATGCACGAAACAAATTTTATATCGTGTTGGCAGACAAGGCATTCAAACCATCTTCCAGTCAGTCATTTTTGCAGGTTTTTGATACGTATCTTTTCCGTCACATAACTTGAAGATACTGATGATGATACATGAAACAGCATAAGCTAAATAGTTAAAGAACTATTGTTTATTAGGAATTAACCCACAATTTTGGTGGTAGCTCATGTTTGTCGCTGTATTTCTATACACCTATATGTGTACACCTTCATATATAGTATAATTTAATTATTAAAATTAAGTAAGACGTAAGGCATGGTACGTGACTTGTAATACTGGAAAAGTTATAGGCATTACTCTTGTGATATGCTTTGTCTCAGGTTTATTTTATGTTGTATAACTGTAACAGTTAGTTTGTAATATGTTGTGTGTGCGCATGCGTGCTTGTGCTGTATATAGTCTGTCACTTTTATTTGATCAGAAATACGTAGTATTTTGATAGCCTTAGAATAATTAATTTTACTTGCCAAATTCTGATTTTCTTTGCTCAGAGGTATAAGAAGAGATGCAAGGTAAGGAAAAGCAAATCATGTGTGTGATTTGTTGATATATTCAGCCAAATTCTTTTTGAAGATTTCTGTCTTCTGGGTTGTTACGCTGGTAAACGTTGGTAAACATCTACCAGACTACACAGCGCAACAACCCAGAAGACAGAAATCTTCATACTCACTGCTGTGAAAACCTCAAATCTTACAAATTCTTTTTCCTGTTCAGTGATAAAAATGTTGCATTACTTATCTGATCTGATCTGATGGATATTATTGATGCATGTTCTTGTCAAATTAGGTGAAGAAAATACAAATTATTTAATCTGATTATACAGTGTTTATGGTTAGTCTGAATGATGGTATATTGTAATAAGTTAAAATATTATTTTGGACATTGTCCATCATCTCGGTTATTTGTTAGAAACACAGTACATTTCAGAAACTGGATCTGTCTCCATCATCAGGTGAAGGCAGGAGACAGAAGCACCTACTCTGGTGGGTCCCACAGACGAGCTAGTCTCCGTCACTGGACACTTGATGAAGTCTGGGCCAAATAATATTTACTCGTAGCATCAAATATCACCTGTGCAGAAACCAAGTAAGAAAGGGACTGTGAATCATGGAGTAAGAATCGCCTTGTAGTCACATATGAAACATTCAGGGCCCTGCGATCTCTGAAATTGACTAATGATATGATTCGGTGTTGTTTAACAAATGACGATGATGGACAATCTCAAAAATAACAGTTGAGCTTAATGTTTATGGTATTCACATATTTGTGTATTTTAGCTCTAAGACTTATTCTGTAATTCAAAGTGTGTTTGAGTGTTCAAGTACTTGCTTGAAAGAATCTTCAAAGATATAGCATTTGCTGAAAAGCCTTTTATTTTATATTTTAGATGTTTTAGTTTAAGGAAATTAAAAGCTAACGATCCTGAAAATACAAATATGTTATTGGGGATTTTATAAATGTTTTTATATATATATTTTTTGGTATTATTTACTGCTTTTCTACATTTGTATAGATTTACATATATTTCAGATTTGTATAAACTGAATTAGGAAAGATGTAATACTTTTGTTACCATTTACTTATTTGTGTTCAAGAAAAGTGCATTTAGAACTACCAGTTTTGTCCTTTGCATTATGTATGCATGTGTTTCTGTTATTCCATTTATCAGAAAATGAAGATGGCCATCCAAGATTATTTCATTCCATTGTATTTGTAATGTAATGCAGGTAGATTAAATGAAAATTTTCTCTTCTGTTCAGCTAGTCAATTTGATCTCTCATGATGAGTAGGTGTAAATGAAGTCTGTATGTTAATATACATAATCAACTTTTGAAAATATATTCATTGTGATTCATCAGCGTTTTATTTTAAGGTTAGTTACCCTTACACCATGTGTTTTTACCATTGTTACTAGATGGAGATGAGTTGACAGCTTCTTTGTCCTTTACCTGCCTGAAGAGAATTCTGCAATAATTAAACTGAAAGAGCAAGGGCAGGTAAAATGTTTTGGTGTTGTTACAAAAACATCATTCGGTATTTCGGAGTTATAAAACTAGTTAAAATTTATGGAAGATCAACCTGATATTTATGCTTGACATGACAATTAATTAATTTTCATATCTGTCTTTACAAATATTTTTATGAGCGCATACATGAATAAATTATCTTTTTACTTCAATATTAAAAATGACATCTGTTCATGCAGATATTGGTAGGTTGGCGGCAGTGCTTGTATGTTTTGTTTGTGTGGCCAGTCTGGAAAAGTATGGAGAATACAGTTTTGGGCTGGTTGTTGTGGTTGGTTTAATTACGTTAGTCTTCACAGTAGTCAATCAACGACTGTGTTTTTGTAAGCGGGAGTGATGTGCATTAATTTTTACGTGTATCATGTTGCAGTTAATAACATCGTGTAGTTAATTATTTGAAACTGTTTAATATAGTAGATGTTATTTATTTCTTGATTGGAGTAAGATAAGTGTGCATGCCAAATTATTATGGCGGCATTTGCTAAAAGGGGCTCGAGGATATTGAGGCAGCATGTACTGAACACATACTGTGCAAAGGTGAGGTTTTCAATGCCCCTTCTGTTACGTTCCATACTGTATTTCCATTTTAGTCGTTTGGTGCGCGTAATATATAATCAACAATAGCGGTCATGTCATTTTTAAAAAAAAAATCAGTTTCAGTAAATGTACGTAATTGCATTTACTGCGTTTTTTGCACGTATAATATATCCGAGCTGGGGTAGTTCAGTTAGTATAGTGACTGGCTACGGATTTGACGACCGGGATTCGATCCCCGACGGGGGCAGACCGGTTCTGGGTCCCTCCCAGCCTCCTATTCTATGGGTGGCGTATAGTGGGACAGCGTTACGAACTTTATTATAATATATCCATTCTATTAATTATTATGTCTTGAATCAACTGATATGTCTACTAACTGGTAAAATAGGGTTATTTAATATCCTATTCCTTTCTCTGTAGCCCAATTTCAGTATATTTTGTTTTTAAGGAATACTCCCTAAATGTATAATAGATTTAGCCAAATGATAGACCATCCCTTGTTATCCTTCATCTGTGTCAATTCTCCTTGTATTTTTTTATACTAGGATATGTAGGATGGAAAGTTTTGTGTTATATCTGGTAACTATAAGAAAAAGTAATTTGCTGATGAGGTAAGTGCTTATTTTCTGTGGTGATTTATGTTTGATGTGCTTCGTAGAAGATCTTTTGTGCTCTTGTGAAATTATTTGGAACTCTAAAATGGAGAAAGGAAAGTTCTTCTTCACGGCAATGCCTGAACATTTTTTACTCCACCCCCTCTTTTAAAATTTTACCTTTTTATCATTAGATGGCCACAAACATGGTAAGAAGGTGGGACAAGAAATATTACAATATTATCATACATGAACTGGTACTTATTCACAACATTTGCCATTTACATTTCACAGGGAAAATTAAAGTCTATAGGAGCTCGACAGATGTGTTTAAATTACAAATCTAGTTGGTGCCTCAAAGAGAATAAGACATCATGGCAACATAAGCGAGGGCTGTTCCATTCATCTGCTGTACAAGCCAACAAAATAGTTCCATACAATTTAACTGATATTGGCGAAGGCATCAATGAAGTATCTATCAAAGAATGGTTAGTATCAGATGCATGTATATCAAGATAATACTATTTCTGTTACACTCGTATTGCACGTATCTCGGGGCAAGGCAGAGCCTGGCTTTGTGGAATGAATTCCTAATGCCAAGTGAAGGGTCTGAAATGATTTTTTCTTGTTTGAGGGAAGACATCTCATCTGCTACTAAAAAGTAAAGTAGAGATTATTATTTATAGAACTATAATTTTACCTGTTATGTGTGAATATATTAATTCAGGGCTCAACAAATCTGGGTCACCATGATGCCCAGAAATGTTTTTGTGGTGCCCATTATTTTCTAGAGTACAGTGAAACACCATTGGATCGCCACATTTTGGCATTATAGAGGGGGTGGCAGTATCCAGTCCCCACTCAGAATATCTCCAACACAGCACTGACTGATTGGTTTGCCCTATAAAAGTCAAATAGTTGGAAGCATTTTGCTGGCTTGCACTGTCTTCGTAAACGCACATCTTTTCATTCATCAGAACTTAGCATTGCCCTTTTATCTGTATCAGGCAAACACAGCTGATTGTGGTTGTAGAGTAAGCACCTGTATGTCTTGTACTTGAATTCTTTCGTGCGACCAGTCTGGCGATTGTATTGAAATTTATGTGCTAGATACTCAAAGTGTGCAGAAAACACGTTCACTACACGAGATTCTGCTACCCTGTCAAGCAGCAGTAAGAGGAAAGGCTTGTAACTGTTTCTGAGAATTCTTGGACTTTGCAGCTTATTTTTGGTAATTTTTCCATTGTCACATTGGTACCCTCCCCAGTAGCAGGTTAATTAACTGTAATTGCTTGTCTGTGTAATGTCACCTTTTACTTCAGTGACCCCAGGTGGTTTCTTACATGAGTGGGTTTAATAGTTAATGCACAATGTTTGGCGCACAGTGTGTTTACAGCTGAATGTTTGCGAGGTGAGTGGAAACAGTATGGCTTGGTGCTTTACTAGACTTGATTATAATGCTTAATGGTTTATTTGTATTGTCACAGATGTTGGTGGATAACGACTAACAGGAATGGCATTTTACCAAGGGATTCTCTTTTAAATTACGTATAGCGGTTAGAACGCTGGCCTTGTAATCCTGGGGTCTCGGGTTCGATTCCCGGCGGTGCCCAAATTTATAACTTGTGTTGGGCAAGGCCGTGGTCTAGGCAACACGGAGTTTTCCTCCGGGGGCTTCCCCGGTTTCTCCGTGGCATCCCAACAATTACTCCATTCACACACAGAAGAAGGCAATGGCAAACCACTGCTGGATCATCTGCCAAGAACGTATATGAACAGGTATCAGTCCGAGAAAAGGATGGAAGGATCATGTTCATATGGACCT